TACTGAGGGGTTTTTAAAGGAGGGGTTGAGGAAATGGAACATGGGAGATGAAAAGCAGGAGAGAAGGAGATGTGAGCTACGAGGGGTCTGTGTCTATGAGTCAAATACAAGGTCTCACCAAGGCCTCATCTGGTTTCTGTTCTCATCTTCACCGTTAACTTAGGACCCTGCAAGATTTTGATTTGCCCTGGGGTGGCATCATCTTTTCTGCAGTCTTTTATGTAGTTTTGCTTCACAGAGCTCTGGTTGACTTGGCTGGTGCCCGAGGTCAGCTTCCAGTCATTTGGCCTTGATCATTTCTCAAAACTCTGCAAGTCTCAAAGAAAGAACTGTTAGCTTTGCAAAGCAATGATTAGCTTCTCAGCCTTGTTTTCCTATTTAGCAAGAAAGATAAGAAAGTCAAGGGATGGGAAGAAAGAGTGGAGAGAAAAAAAAACTGTCCTTTTTAAAATTCCCCCACCCCCACCACAGCCCAGCAGTTTTACGTCCCAATATGGCTTCAGTCCTGCTCACTCCAACACTCACATTAAAAGTCATGAGTTCATGCTAAGTCCTCCAACATAAATCCAACTCCACAGGGCTCATTCCAGCCCCTCCTTTCCCATATTTACGACACATCTCTCTGATAGCATGAAACCTGGCTTCCACTATCCGCAACATATTTACTTATTTTCTCAGTCAAGTATTTGAAAATTTAGTAAATTTTCAAATTTAGTAATTTGAAATTTTTGTCTGTTTTCTAATTATGGTGAAGGTATGGACTTCGTGAGATTTTATTTGTTCTTGTTGAATTGTATATATTTTTTGGAGATTGTTCTGGGAAATTTGGATTTACACAACTGTCATTATCACAACTGCCTCAGAAGGAAAAATAATTTCTTAATACATGAAGTACACAGAATTTCAAAGTGGACCTGCTGGGCTGAGCTGAAAAATGGTGTCAGCCCCAAGAGGCAACTGGATGTCTTCTTTTATAGGGTTAAGATTAACATCTGGCCTAACCAAGGAAAACGGTTACAATGTTCCATTCTGGGTACAGCCTACTCATGGGAACAGAGACTTAGGGAGACAGAAACTTAGAGAAATGAAATTTAGAGAAGCAAAACTGAAGAGCAGGGACTTTTCAAAGGTCAAGCTCTCAGTTCCAGGAAACTAACACCTGCTATATTGAAATACATCCAAAATATTAAAAATTCATTTTAACATATTAAATAACAATATAAGAATACTTCAAAAAATTCATGGAAAGATTCATACTAGCTTTCAATTCTATTTTTCCACAAACTTTTAAAAGTATCCTTGTATATGGTAGCAGAAATGATATGAAGTAGTGATGAGCATAAATTGTATTTTGGGATAATTCCAACAACTGCAATGTGCCATGAAAATATTTGTTATTTCTATTGGCAACAAAAACCACAAGTACTACAAATACTACTGTGGATTGTTGTTACTTTCATAATTGAAGATTGTGATAAATTTCAGTTACAGATTAGAGAAAATGAAGATGGAATCTTTTTCCCATCTGTATTAGTCTGTTCATGTTGCTTATAACAAAATACATGGAATTGGGTATTTTATAAAGAAAACGAAATTTATTGCTTAAAGTTTCTGAGACTAGGAAGTCCAAAGTCCACCTGGTGGTGGCGATGGTGACCCAGGGGTCTCACATCGCAAGACAGTGGAAGCAGAGAGAGCAGAGACAGAGAAAGACAGACTCTCCTCTTCTTTTAAAGCCCTCAGAACCACGCCCCGACCACCATTTTGAATCCATTCACTACTGCATGGTCCTACAGTCCAATCACCTCTTCAAGGCTCCACCTTTCAATTACCATAATAGGATTTCCCACCCTCTTAACAATCACCCATCCAAACAAATGGACCGCTGAATTTGATCCACAGACCCTCTCAAGGTTCTGTGGAACCCTTTTGCCTGAAGAGCTTTCACAGATGCCCAAATCATCCATCCAACTGAAGTCAAGCCCCTTGGGGCTCATCATCCATTTTGGTGGGGGGGACACAGGCGGCCAGTATGGGGATCCAAACCCTTAACCTTGGTGTTACAACACTGCACTTTAGCCAGCTGAGCTAACCAGCCAGCCCTCGTAATCCACTTCCATCCACAAGAACAAACCTACCTTTTCAGTGGTTTTCCTTCCCTCATCCCTCATCTATTTTCCCTCCCTCTGGGAACTTGTACTAATCATTGTACTAGAACAGGGGAGGCCATGAGAGAAGATGACCCTGGAGCAACAACCATTCCAGATGTCAGATGTTGCTTTTGGCCAGTGGACTTGTATCTCAGCCTCTCAGCAGCCATGGCAAGGTGCTATGTGCTGACTCTAACAGCTCATCTTGGACACTGCTCAACCCCAGCCCGGTGTGCAGGCACCCCAGTCCCCAGCACCACCCTCCTCTGTCCCTCACCCTGGAGGGACACAGCACTCCAGTCCCAGTGAGCTTGGCAAATCACTTTGTTTCCTTGACCCTCTTTCATCTTCTATAAAAGGAGGCAAATAATATGCCCTCTCTAACTCAAAAAGCTGTTGAGAGAATCAAATGAGACCCACGTGCAAAAGTGTGGGGTAGAGCCCTTACTCACTTACTTACTTAGTTTACTATCACTTCCCTCACGTTGCCCTGGAGACACTGAAAACACAAAGTTTCCACTCTTTGCTCAAAGGAACATTAAATCCCATGAATATTTGCCTTCCTTAAATAATTCCCTTGGGAGTTTGGATTGCAATGAAGGCTACAGAATCTATTCAGGGAATATATTAAACATTTAGTTATTCAATAATTATTTATTGAGGCCAAACTATGAGCAAAACACTATAGTAGCTGAATTTATAAATATGAAATATTCTTAAATTGCTTAAATATATAATTTTGCAGGAGTTAATTATACCACCTCTGCTCCCATAATTATACATTTTTAATGTATTTATGTATTTGAGAAGGGAAAAAAAACCTGCTAAGTGGACATTGTTTTGCAACAAATCATAACTCCTACACAGGAAAGATTTGGGGAAACTATACCAAATGTTGAAGCCATGGTGATCTAAAAACTTGACTATTTTTGAAATAGTCACAGCTGTACCATAAGAATTAACTAGTTTCCCCAAACCTAACATATTTTAATATTTCCCTCTGACTTAATTTGTATCAACTGACAATTCTTTTATCCTTTTTTTCTTTAGCTATAGATCTTTTGGGGGAAAAAAGATAAAACCAGGGCCCAAAATTTCCTTGAGAAGTGAGGAAGATATATCATATTGACTTATTTATCTGAAAGTCTGTTCTTTTTACAGCAGTAGAAATAAAATGTAAATGTGTGTTTGTGCGTGTGTGTTTAAAATTCTGTCTGTGTGTATGTTTATATTTCTTATTAAGGAAAAAACTACTTACATATATGGAAAAAAAACTGGGAGAAAATGCACCAAAATATTGAGTCAAATGTGATAATCATTACAACCCTCGTTAATCTTTTCTGTATTTGTTATTTTTTTTTTCCTTGAATATAAGTTATTCTCACAAACATTAAAAAAAAAAAAAGGACAATTTTTGAAAGAGCTCAAAGGAAAAACCAGGAAAGCTTTGTAAGAAAATTAAGTCCAAAGTTTATAAAATTGCTTGACCTTGCAGCTCCTTTTTGAACACAGTATCTGTGAACAGCCGTGATTCCAGAAGCATCCACAAATTTTTGAACTTCAACTCGGCCTATTGATCTTTGTGAGGCACTCAAAGCCCCTCTGATTCTTCAGGGTGGGTCTGGATCAAGGGCAGAGATATTGTGTGCACACAGGAGGAAGCTTGTGGGTCATGGGGGAAGAAAATAAGGTCTTTCCCACTTGTGATGATCTCTTTAGCCACTCTTTCTTCCAAAGGCTAAGAGCCAAATACAGGCCGCAGGCTGCTCCTGCGTGGAGAGGGGCTGGTGATCTCCTTCCCTGGGGGGAGCTATGGTTGTGATCTAGGAGGGCTGGGCCTCCGTGATGCCCGGACCTGAGGCATCCGGGGCATACAAAAGCCCACAGTTGTTCTCCACTTCCTCCTTCGGGATGGCTTGCTCTTCCCTGGCCGCAAGTACCCACGGTAAGAATGATACCTGCCAGGGGGAGATGCAGATGCAGGCTTCTGAGGAAAGGGGAAGGAAGCCCTCTGCATGTTTGATATTAGGCCCTAGGCTGCCACTAGCTCTGACAAAATTAGTTTTCCAGGTGGTTCTGCTATACTTATGGTAAAAGCCTGTTTTATAGTACAATTGTGCTTTACTTTGTCCCCTGTACATGTGATATTTTTTCCCACAGAAGGCTGGTGTCCATAGAGGGTAGAATTTGGGGGCCTGAGATTCTGGTTTGGGACACTGTGCACTGGCCAGTATTCCTGCCTGATCTCTTTCCATTCATCTTATCCTTTCTTGGTGAATTCAGTGGTGGCCTTTGGCTTGGATACTCTCTGCACCGAGTTGTAATGGTCTCAGAGGTAGACTGAAGGCTGACATTAACCTATTTAAAATAAGAAAATGGAAACCATGTTGGGAATATTTTCTTAGTGGCAACACCAAAACACTCTCCTTTTCCAGATAGCTTGAAAATAATTGGGAGTCTAACCGAACAATTAAAATTGAGCGGGCCGGCCCGGTGGCGCACTGCTACAGTGCGCCGCTTGGGAGCGTGGTGGCGCTCCCGCCGAGGGTTCAGATCCCACATACAGACCGGTTCCCGCTCACTGGCTGAGCGAGGCGCGGGCGCAGCACCGAGGGTTGCGATCCCGTTGCCGGTCCCGGTCCGGTACGGGCGCAACACTGAGAGTTGCGGTCCGTTGCCGGACACGAAAAAAGACAAAAAGGAAAAATAAAATAAAATTGAGCTATAGTGTCTAATAGATTTTGAGCCTATCCTTTTTTTTTTTTTTAAAGATGACCGGTAAGGGTATCTTAACCCTTGACTTGGTGTTGTCAGCACCACACTCTCCCAAGTGAGCCACGGGCCGGCTCTGATTTTGAGCCTGTTCTGCCCTCGAATTTTGTGAAGTAGCAAGAGGTAAGATTTTACAGCGAGACTCTGTCTTTCAGATAGATGAATTCACACATGAGACTAATGTCATCCCTCCGCACAACTCCGGTGGCCCACATCGGCCCAATGACCCGTTTGGCCAAGGTTCCTTCCTCTCTCTTTCATTTAATTTCTCTGAATACTACGTGGTTAGTTCTTGCATTACTTTAGAGGAGAAGTTAATCATTTAAATGGCCACCTTCCCAACAAGCAACAAAATAAGAGTCATTGTTTATTTTTTGGTTTTTTACTTCCTATTTATCCACTTAAATACATTAAAATATCTCAAGTTCATCGATCCCAAGTTATAATGCCTTGATAGTTCTAATTGAATTTTCTTTCTGATTTCAAACACTCAGGACACCATCTTCTACTACTTTATAAGAAAGAAGTGTCCCTGTCACATACAGGAAAAAAAATGCTCTTTTGGGTATTAGCCCTCTTAATCCTCTGCAGTTTCCTGTGGAATTATAAAGGACAACTAAAGGTTGCAAACATCACGGATAAATACGTTTTCATCACTGGATGTGATACTGGCTTTGGAAACTTGGCAGCCAGAACTTTTGATAAAAAAGGATTTCACGTAATTGCTGCCTGCCTGACTGAATCAGGATCAACAGCTTTAAAGGCAGAAACCTCGGACAGACTTCACACGGTGCTTCTGGATGTAACTGACCCAGAGAATGTCAAGAGGGCTGCCCAGTGGGTGAAGAACCAAGTTGGGGAGAGAGGTGAGAGATGGGGGGCTGATGAGGGTGGGGGCAGAGAGGAGTAACTAAAGCTAAAATAAGAGTGTCCCGATTTTAAATGGCCTTTCAAGAAGATGTCGAAATGCCTGCTGTGTACTTCTCTAATCTTAGGATAGTTTCCAAGTAGTTGCAAGTCACAGGTTCTCTGTGTACATGAGAGACACAGTCCAAGTTATGCTCAGTCTTATGTCCCAGTGGGTGAATTTATAACTGAGATGAAGGGATTTACTTTCCCTGGTCTGCCCCTGAAGTTCTACTCCAACCACATACACAGAAGAGGAACTTGAGGCTAAAATCTACAGGAGAATAGAGGAGCAATCCCCAAATTGCTATCCCGTTACCTAGGACCCACTTCTCACTACAAAATGGTTCCAGAGCTCACACATTTGCAATGGGCAAGGTAGAAAATGGCCTAAGAACTTTAGTATAAGTGTCCTAGATAGCTGTGGTAGAGTAGCAAGTCATTGGACCCTCATTCTGTCATAGATTCTGCTAAGGTATGGCTAAGATGGCCATAGCAGGAAGTAGAAAATTTTTATTGGCTTTGAATGAAGTTTGGTATATTCACATGGATGAAGATATTGGGGTCCGCAAAGGAAAAAATCAAATGTATGTGGTTTTTCTCTGTTACATCTTCATCATATAAATGAGACTTTGAAATTCAATAGCAACGGTAAGACACTAGACAATTTTTAATGCTTGAATTCCATTCCAAACACCTTTAACAATATTAAATGTTTCCCATCATAAAACAAGCCAAGTGAATGATTAAATTTTTTACCAAAGATAAACATGAAATAGATTGATATTACTTTCCATCCACATAGAACATTTTATAAATATTCTTTGGCTTTACCAGCTAACAAGTCAGGAAACGTAGACCAATTTACTCTACATCTGAGGTTAAAAAAAGAAAGTCTCACTCAGAGAGTATTACCATTTGACATTCAGAACCAGAAATAGAATTACAGTGGGACTGAATTCAGCTAATTCAGTTTAGCCTCCCACCCTCTCTGCCATCACTTTCCAAAACTGCAACGTACTTCAAAGCAAGAATAAATTTGCCTAAAGCAGGGGCTGTATTTCCATCAGAGATGTTATATAAGTGCCAGCTTCTACTGCACCTCTTTCCGACCTGTCTGCTCTAGGCCTCTGGGGTCTGATCAACAACGCTGGTGTTCTTGGTGTGCTGGCTCCCACCGACTGGCTGACAGTGGAGGACTACAGAGAACCTATTGAAGTGAACCTGTTTGGACTCATCAACGTGACATTAAACATGCTCCCCTTGGTCAAAAAAGCTCGAGGGAGGGTAATCAATGTCTCCAGCATTGGGGGGCGGCTTGCATTCGGCGGAGGGGGCTATGCTCCATCCAAATATGCAGTGGAAGGCTTCAATGACAGCTTAAGGTAAAGCAAACTAATTGACTAATTATGAAATAATAGCTGTTAATATTTATTGAATGCTTATTACATACCAGACATTCTGTTTAGTACTTTAAATTATTTCCAATTTATAGATAATACCACTGAAACTGAGAGATCAAGTAACTTGCCCAAAGTCACTCAGCTGGTAAGACAGAGAACTGAGATTTGAACCCAAGTCTGTCTAACTCTTTTTTACTTTTTGTTTTAATGCAGGATGCTGATAGAGGTGGTGAATTTATATTTAACAGGTTAGTTTGTCAAATAGGTAATCATACAGAGAGGCTAAATCAGGGTAGGTCTCTCCAGTGATGTTACTGTCAATTGCAGACACAACAGTACCATCTTATTGAAACCTTCAGTTGAAAATGATCAGTTTTTAAGTAGGTGCTTTATGCACTGTCTCCAGGTTTTATATCTGCATTCAGTGGGAGAGACGGGGGAGTGTGCTTAATTCATTTTACCTAGAAACAGAACTTATCCCTATCAGTTCAAAGCCCCTAAATTGCAAGTGGTTCTTTCAGTCAAGGTTCTGGCAGAAAACTGTGGCACATTAAAATTAGTTATAGGGAATAGCATTTACTTAAAGGACTATCTACAAACATGTGAGTGGTGTGTAGGAAAATCCCAAAGGATAGTGTAGTATTTAGGGGCTAATGACAGAAGAGACATTTCTGTCCACAGGACTTAAGGAACAAAGAGACAGGGAAGTTTCCAGAACCTGAAGATATAGAGGCTGTCGCCTTTAGTTGAGGAATGAAATAAGCAGTATTGACACCACAGGAGGATACCTAGCCCAACGTCTTCCCCTCTCTCCCTTTGAGCTCTCACCAGTACTTCCAATCCACTGTACCCTGCAGAAGCCAGAGTATGGTTAATGTAGGTCAGCCTCCCAGGATAGAGTGCAGAAGGAAGGGTGGAGAAGCAAATGGAAGATATTCAGCTGAGTGGTGCTGTGATAAGAGAGAAGACAAAATTAGATATAGTCTTTCCTTCTATTCATCTGTTTACTTATTCAACTAGTATTTGTTGAAAGCATATGTTGGAGTTTATGATCTATACCATGGATCTAGGTTTAGCTTACTAACAAAAAGTTAGATCATTCCACTGAGATTAATAAGGATAGAACAATTCCTTTTTGCTATTTGATTAAGTTGCCAAATTTGACTCTCCTAGGAAATAAACTCAACAATATCAGTACAATGCTTCCAAAATATTAATGTGCATTTGAATCAGCTGGGGATCTTGTTAAAATGCAGATTTTGATTGACTGAGTCTAGAGTGGGGCCTGAGATTCTGCATTTCTAATGAACTCCCAGGTGCTGCTGATGGTTGAGGGATCACTTTTAGTAGCAAGATCGAGGAAAACCTTCATTAGTCTCCTTGGGTGACCTTTGGTTCCACTCTACAAGCAGCAGAATTATAATAAAATTTTAGTATAGTTAGAGATTTACTCACTTTTAAAAAGAGATTTCAACTGAAGGGTTTGTGGGATTCACATTGTAGCCACACCATGCCTGAAAGTAACCGATAAAGAGTGCTTATTTCTTCATGAATTATGGAACTGGTATTTGAAATGGTATTATGCATGTAGGCCACAGCCCAGTGGCAGAATTTCTATATATAGCAAGATTTAGGAGCAGCAGTCTGAGAGATGATTGGGGCTCTTAAAAGCTGTACTTGCCCAGCAAGCATATTGATTTTATAGTGGTTTTAATCTGATAAGCTTAAAGCCGCTTGTCCCTAATTGTACGTCATTTTCATGAGTGGGTGGGAAGACAAGTCGTATTTGTCCATTTTGTGTTGCTATAACAGAAACACCTGAAAGTGGGTAATTTATAAGGAACAGAGGTTTATTTGGCTTACAATTCTGAGACAGCTGCATCTGGCACGGGCCTCAGGCTGCTTCTCCTCATGGCAGAAAGGGGCAGGTACAAGCAGATCACATGGCGAGAAGAGGGGGGGGGGAGAGAGAGAGAGAGAGAGAAAGCCAGGATCCTATAAACAACGAGCTCTCGTGGGAACTAATAGAGCAAGAACTCACTCATTACTCCCCCAACCTAGCAAGAGCACTAATCCACTCATGAGGGATCCACCCCCATGACTCAATCAGTTTCCAGCACCACCAACCTTTCTTATTTCAATGCAAATAACATACCTTTCGAAATCTTTCAAAGTCAAGCGAATTTGCTTGACTTTGAAAGTCAATTTTACATTTTTAGTAAAATATACTTCCAACAATACAATAGTTATATTGCTAGAAAGCAGAATCTAACATAAATTAATTCACATTTTAAGTTCACTAAAAGAACATTTTAAAAATATTATAGTGAAAACTTCTGAAAAATGAATAATTGCCTCTTCATATATTCCTGGTGGAAATATAAATTAAATTTAGGAAATGAGGGCCGGCCCGGTGGCGCACTGCTACAGTGCGCCGCTTGGGAAGCGCGGCGGCGCTCCCGCCGAGGGTTCAGATCCCACATACAGACCGGTTCCCGCTCACTGGCTGAGCGAGGCACGGGAGCAACACCGAGGGTTGCGATCCAGTTGCCGGTCCCGGTCCGGTATGGGGGCGACACTGAGGGTTGCGATCCATTGCCGGACACGGAAAAAGACAAAAAGGAAAAAAAAAATAATTTAGGAAATGATTATTCATACACTGGTTTGCTTTAAAGAAAGGGACACCATGATTCCTCTAAAACCTTGATGCCCACTAAATGTGTAGGCTTTTGGTTTTCTTCAGCAACATGATGGAAAAGCTTGCTCAGCAGCATAGGGAGTAGGTTAGTCATGTCAGGGATCGTCACATTGTGTCCTTCAGCACATCCTCACCTGTGCTGCAATCTCCTCTCATTCCTAGAATGGAGGCACCCTTGTCCATTCAGGCCAGTCAGTCCACTACACCATAAGAAAGCCTGTTGTTAAGCCAAATCCTAGTCAATTTGATGAGAAACTGGCTTAGGGAGAACAATGGACTGCGGGTGGGTCCGCTCAGATCCCTTTTCTGTTCTGCCATTAACCAAACCCTCCCTTTACCACTCTGCACTTCAGTTGCCTCAACTGAAAAATGAGAGGGTAGAACAAGGTGCTTCTTTCCTATGCACCAAATTCTGAGAGTTCATGAAAAGATTCATGAGAAAATAGTCACCCAAATAGCAAACATTCTCCAAATACACCTGGGTTAAACATCTTCAATGGGTTCTTTTTGCAGACGGGACATGAAAGCTTTTGGTGTGCATGTCTCATGCATCGAACCAGGATTGTTCAAAACAGAATTGTCAGATCCAGTAAGGACAACTGAAAAAAAACTTGCCATTTGGAAGCATCTGCCTTCGGACATCAAACAACAATACGGAGAAGGTTACATTGAAAAAAGTGAGTTTCTGGGTGGACCCAGTGTTCTCTGGGATTCATTGTCCTAGGCAGCATGATGGAGACTCAAACGCAAATGAAAAAACAAGGTTCCCAGACTAATACACCAATAGGGATTTTAAATATGGGTCAGGGATCTCTTAATTCCAGTGTCATCTCTTGCTTCTCAGTATTTATTCACATTTACTGAGCATTTACAAAGTGGCAGGTTCTACGCTAAGCACCTTATGAATTATGTCATTTACTCCTCAGAAGAACTGTTGGAGTAGTGAGCAGAGGCTTGGAGGGGTAAAATGTCCTATCCAAGGTTATATAGCTCCTCCTGGTCACACCAGGTCCTGAGTCCAGGCAGGCTACTTTGGTGCCCACGTGGGGCCTTCATCTCTACATGTACCACCTCTTTTTGTTCAAGGGTTTATGGAGATTAAAAAGATAGAGAAGACTCAGAGACTCTGATCCTTAACTAGTTTATAATCTAGTTGACAACAAAAGGTAACCAAGTGAGACTGTAAAACAGTGAGACTACATAGCTCACAAGAAAGCTGATCCTTCTTAGATGTAATCCAGTTGCCCAGAAGTGGTGCTAAATGGTGTGGTCAATTGCCCAAGGAATTCAAACCAGGAAAAGAGCATTGCTGGTTAAGAAGTCTTCATGGGACAGGTTGGGTTTGAATAAGGAGCAGGAACACATGAAGGGGGACACAGGAGGAGAGGTAACATAAACCAAGGGATTGGGTCAGGGATGGAGGAATAATAATACAGATTACATAATGATGAATAATATGTGGTGAACAGTTCCTAGGTAGTTGTCACCATTCTAAGAGTTGTACATAAACTCTACCATTTAAATCCCCAAACCATGAAGTAGATACTGTTATCACCTTTATTTTATAGAAATAGAGACAGAGAGAAGTAACTTACCTGAAACTGCACAGCTAGTAAGTGGAAGGGCTAGACTTGAGCCCAGGCAGCCCGGCGTGGCCGTTTGTTCATGGCCACCGCACTCTCATGTAAACAAGGCGTTGAAGAGCTTGGTCAGACTGCCTGTGTTAGGACTCCACTTCCACCTCAAACTTCCTGGTCCTGGTAAAGTTTACTCGATGTTTCTCAAACCCTTACTAAGCTCCTGCTTTGAGCTGAACAGGGCCCCACCTAACTTTGTGTCACTCTGCCCCTCCAAACTGACTTCCTCTTCATCGGTGCACTTGGTAAATAGTCAACTGTGGCAAGGTGCAAGGCCAGGAGTCTTGAAAGTGGAGCCAAGAGCCAAGTCATATCCACCCGGGGAGGTTTTTAAAATGACTGACTCCTCCACCCACCTGCCACCCCCCCACCACTACACACACACACACACACACACACACACCCATGTTGTATCAACTCAAATGTCTGGCTTGACAAGCTTCCCAGTGCTGACATGTCACTGTAAGTTTAGAACCACTGCCTTTAAATGTTCCATTTCTCACTTAGTGACTTTGAAGGTTCTACATGGGCTCAGTGTAAGACTGAACTTAACACTTTGGACTTAATACTTTAGAAACTAAATCCCTCATTTGAAAGCACTTTCTCTATTTGATATTGCCAGTGATACTTTTTAAATACTAATGAATATATCACCAACTTCCACCTCAAATTACTGTTGACTTGGTCCCTGGTTTGGGTGTTCTGTCTCAGAAATACCAAAAGGCATTGAGCCCAGTTTTGCAGTAGTTGTTCTTATTAGGGTTTTCCACGTCAGGAGTTGGAGATCAGCCTGACTCAGTCCCAAAGTAGACCACAAATCTAAGGTCACTTTTCTTCATTTCCCAGACTGGGGTGGTAGGAGTTCAAAATAGCCACTAAGACTTGTTAGGTTCTTTGAACAACTTGTGGCGATTGGGGCCTGAAGTTGAATGGATCTAAAATCATAGATTTTTCCCTTGAGGAGACACAACTTAGGTATGTTTTAAGAACATATGAGGATCATATAATAGTTCTACTTTGAATTTTTTGAGGAAACTTCATGCTGTTTTCCATATGGCTATATTAATTTACATTCCCACCAACAGTGTACAGTACAAGGTCCCTTTTCTCCCCATCCTTGTCAACACTTATCTTTCATTTTTTTGATAATAGCCATTCCAACTAGTGTGAGGTGATATGTCATTGTGGTTTTAATTTGTGTTTCCCTGATGACTAGTGTCATTGGACATTTTTTCATATACCTATTGTCCATTTGTATGTCTTCTTTTGAGAAATGTCTATTCAGGTCCTTCTCCCGTTTTTTTAATCAAGTTATTTATTTTCCTGCCACTGAGTTGAGTTCTTCATATATTCTGGATATTAACCCCTTATTAGATGTATGGCTTGCCAATATTTTCTCCCATTTAATAGGTTTTCTCTTCACTCTTTTAAGTGTTTCCTTTGCTGTGCAGAAGCTTTTTAGTTTAATGCGATCCCATTAGTCTATTTTTGCCTTTGTTGCCTGTGATTTTGGAGTCTTATCCAAAAAATCATTGCCCAGATCAGTGTAAGGAAGCTGTTCCCCTGTTTTCTTATAGTAGTTTTATAGTTTCAGGTCTTACATTAAAGTCGTTATTGTATTTTGAGTTTATTCTTGTATTTTTATATGCTGAGAGATAAGGGTCCAATTTCATTCTTCTGCATGTAGATATCCAGTTTTCCCAACACCAGTTACTGCAGAGACTGAGGCTCTGAACATTACTAATCCCTTTTAAAATACCTGCATCTCTAAAGGCATCTCAGCTTTTAACAAGCCCTTCAGGAGATTCTGTTTCCCACCCAGTTTGAGAGTCACTGGTCTGAAGAAAGCACTGCTGCATCCTTTTCTGAGGAATAGACAGAAAACTATCACAATGGGCCTCAATTATAATGGAAAATTCAAAATAAATTCTATCACATACATCCTCTCCCTTGCACTCAAGCCTCCCTCTCGGCTTTTCCCCTTCTTGCAAAGAATAAATGTGCTTTTGTCTCTTTTTATAGGTCTAGACAAACTGAAAGGCACTACCTCCTTTGTGAACGCGGACCTCTCTCTGGTGGTGGAGTGCATGGACCATGCTCTAACTAGTGTCTTCCCCAAGACTCGTTATACTGCTGGAAAAGATGCCAAGACTTTCTGGATACCTGTGTCTCACATGCCAGCAGTTCTGCAAGACTTTTTATTGTTGAAACAGAAAGTAGAGCTGGCTAATCCCAAAGCAGTGTGATTCAGCTGACCACAAGTGCCTGCTCCAGGGTATGAGATTAGCCGATTTCAAGGACACATCCTTTTTCAATCCCATTCTTTACCTAATTCAACTCAGACTCATTTTGATCATTCTTCTTTTGATAAAAGAAGGGGTCCCGCCACCACTGGTGATGTCCCAGGGTTCCTTCTCAAGCCTTCTTTGAAAAGAAGGGCAGGGATGGCAGATCACATGGGTAAATCCTGCCCAATATTTAGGTTTTGCCTGCTTGGTTTGATATAAGGAAAATCGAAAGACTTCCCCATTCAAAATGATTTCCCCCTCTACCTGCCCCAGCATTTAGAGTAACTCCTGGATGTTAAATATTGTCTGTTATCAAAATATTAACAGATAAGGAGAATACTTTCATAAGTGAATTAGATGTGTTCGTTATCTTGCCGAGAATAAGACTCTGAAGGACTGGAATTCAGTCCTGCTCAGCTTTGATGGGACAGGAAAGAAAGGGTGATACAGCATTATGTGATACTGGTACAAGCCAAGGGGCAGCAGATAACACTATGTCAGATTGCAAGTAGAAGGGAAGAAAAAGACAGGAAAGAGAATAAGAGGACTGCGAAAAAGAATATAAATATATATATGGAGGTAGGCAGACTCCAAGACATGCCTTCCTATTCTAGAGGGAGCTATGGAGAATGAATTCAAGGCCACTGGGAATATTGATACACACAGTTTTCTGGTGGAATTACACAGTAATTTCTGGAATTACAGAGTAACCAGTCATTCCCAAAGAAGAAAAATGTAAAGTATTTATGTTTATTCCAGTGACTGTAAAAGTAACAAGACTCAGAATATCTAGTACGCCATAGACATGTACAGTCAATTATGTTTCAATAAAAAAAATTTTTTTTAAAGAATATCTGGTACAACTTACCCCTGACAGGTTTGGAAATCCTGTATTTGTGGTAGCTCTGAAGCCCCATGAAGATAGAAAGCTAAATTAAAAGACTCTCTTTGGCCTACAGTTACAGTGAGATTAGATCTGCACCTTGCTCATATTCTTGGTTTTAAATTGAATTGACACTGGGCCCACACCCCAGCCAAAAGAAACAGTTCCCTGGACAGATGTCTCCCAGATTCCAGCAGTCAGTACCACTGGCAAAGGTTTGTCGAATATTTACATGACGAAGCCTGGCCTGGCATAACTAAACTTTTTTTTTTTTTTTAAAGAATAATATGGTGGAAAAGAGCCAGAGAAATTAGCTAGCGTGCACATGGGACATGCACATGCACACGCTTAAGTTATCGTGGAGCAAATATTTAACATCTGCTACTTGAAACCATGTCCATTTGAAGGTTTGAGCAATTCTATTCATTTTCATTCACCCTTCTGGAAACATCTGACTATGAGATAATTTCCTCCTTTCAAGTTTACAACATATTGGTGACTGAAAAATCAAATCACCAGTGGTGTCAGTCCACCTGGACATAGGTTTCATAATGTTGAGGGAAGATACCCTCACCCTTTTAGCGTCAAAATGAAAAACATCGCAGGGAGAATCAGAAGAATTCTCAGGCAAAATTAGCTAAGTCATTGTCACTACATACCTGTGAAGTCATTCTCATCTTGCTCCTAGCCACAGAGACACTTCACCTGTAGACCCCTGGTCTCTTCTGGTGACAGGCAACCCCCTCACATCCTATTGCTGGAGCTGAAGTTCACCAGTGTTGTTTGCTGGGGCGCCTCCTGCTCACCTCGAATCCCCAGATCGTGGCTTCATTTCACTGCTTTAGAATTTATGATATGCTGCTCCCTGACTTTCCAGATCTCCCAGGGCTGCCAAGACATGTAGAATCTTCAGGAACCTCCTTTGCTGAACTTCCACTCATTCCAGTCATACTGACGAGCCTGCCTGACTGTGTTCTCTCCTTTGTTTGTTCGAGACCTCAGCTCTTGGCTCACTCCTCCAAGTAGCTGCAATTTGGTAACTCTGTTTAATCCAACCAAAAAATTCTCTCCTTAAAACAACTGTTGCCGAACATGGTATCACTCCAAAATGAAACCAAATATATTCGCCCAAGTGACTTTAAAAGCTTTTAAAATGAAATGAGAAGTTGGAATGCTTGCAGCATAAAGCCTGGAGTCTCAACAAGAGCACAAACCCTGTGAGGGAAAGAGGGAGGGAGGGAAAGAGAGAAATGGAAAGGTCACTGCACCAGGTCTCAGGCGTGGGCTCCCCATCACTTCTTACTCTCTGTGCTCTTGGGAAAATAACTATCAAATTTTTATCTGTAAATATTTAGGGGAACATATGTGCTAGACATTATGGTAAGTACTGGCTTACAATGAGGAACAAGACAGATATGGTCCCTTCCTTCACAGAGCTCTTTGGTTATGATCCAAAGGCAGCAGCTAATGCTCAGGAGGCCTTAGAGGAGCTTCTCCAGGAACCCATGGCCAAGATGAACTGAGATGTTGTCTTCTACCACACCTATCTTTGAGGATCCTTCCTTACTTAATTTGCAAGGACCCGGAGAACCTTGTAGACCTTCCCTCTGATCTGATCTAAAAATCCAACTTTGTCCTCCATAGGTCTATTTTGGCATTCACAATATATTCAGAACTAAAGTTTTTATCTCCCCACCCCACCTAGGCTTTCCCCAGTCCAGCACCAACTACTGTCAATTTTATCTGCTAAAGGGATCTCAAGTCCATCTACATCTCTTCATCTCCAGTGCGATCATCATTTAAGCTACCGTCATCTCTCGTCTCAACTACAGCACGTTTACCTTGTGCACCTTCAATGACACCTTCTCAGTGCGGTTGGAATTGTCACATCTAACATCTAATCATTCTACTCCTCCCCACCACCACTTTTTTAAACCTTTCGATGTGTTCCCATTGCATTTTGGCCAGAGACTAAAATGGATGACATCAATCACATTGCCCCGGCACTGCTCATCAGCCTCGTCTGGGCCACTGTCCTCCACACTTGGCCACTGCAGGACCTTTCCCGTGCTTCTCCCTAGAAAGTTCCCATTCTAGCTGGTCATTCAGTCTCCTCATCCTACAGATCTCAGCCACTTCCTCCAGGAAGCCTCCAGTTCTGACCATCACCTCTTCATCCGAACTAGGCTTCCACCTTGTCCACTCTCACAGTGCCCTATAATTCACTTCAGGGCACTCATCACCGTCCGTAATTACACATTTGTGTGGTTAGTTAGTAAATGTCATCCTCCCGTATCAGACTGTAAGCTCCAGGAAATCAGGAACGATGACACTTGCTTTATCTTTGTATTCCCTTACCTGGCACATGGCTAGCATATAGATCAGAGTTCAATAAATATTTCCTGAATAAATGCAGAAATCAGTCTACAGTAGCCTTTCTAACTAAGGAGTAATCTATTGCTTCAGATCAAGCTTGTCAGCCCCATTAGTTATGCTATCAGTGAGTCAGTCCAGTTACAGTCCTGTAACTTCCTTAAGCCTTTAAGTACTTCCTCCAGGATCCCCAGCTCTGGTTCTGTTGTCAGCCTCTCCTTAGAGACTGGGCGGTGTCTCCACAGTGATTTCCCATGACCTGCTGGTCCAGAGACACTGTGAAGGAGACTGCGTCCGTGTAAAGCTATCTGGGACCCCTGGTCACCAAACAAAGAGAGCACCGAGAATCATTTAGTGCACGTCTCTGCCTGTGGGCAACACCTGTCTTAACCATCCAGGCCGAGAAGAATCTCTTCTATTTAAAATCTCTCCAGAAACTCCACAACTTTTATGGACAACCCAGCCCAATATTTAATGAGGAAAAGTTTCAGGAAACTTCTAAGAAAAATGATCCATTGTGGCTCTTCTTCACACTGTTGATCCCAATATTTCTCAAGAGCACAAGACATTGCAGTCCCATCAGTGTGAAGGAAATAGCTACACATTCTCAAAACGAGAAACTTCTCGATATGTAGAAATTATTTTTGACAACTTAATCCAAGCCATATCTTATAAGGACAAAGCTGGCCAACAGTTTCATTAACTTGTACTTGTTGAAAATTAAGACAATTCTATTGATATTCATAATACTAACATCCTTCCTCAACTCTGACTCATTTTTTTAAAAGAAAATATGAGTAATTTCCATGCTAGTATATAAAGCACTAAAATAGCCACAGCTTTAATGCAGATTCTGGTTTAGCAGAGCTTCCAAGTTCTTTTTGCACATAGCACCAGCCCAAGAAATAATCAGGTCATGGCTCTTGCCTGATTAGTCCCTGGATGTAGCACTCCAGCCTGAAATAGGTCAGGCAAGGGCCACTCAGCATTCTGTCACATTCTACAAACAGCAACTGTCCAGAACTGTTCCATTTCAGTTCCTTTTGAGAAGTTGGAGATGGAAAAGATTCTGCTATGGATACATAGCATAAGTTCTGGGAAAAAAAACCATCTAGTCCCATAAATAGGTAAAAGACTTACCCTTAGTCCTCTAGGTCTGTTTTTTCCTCCTATATTGGCAACTATTACTTGAGTATGATGCTTCTCAATGAATGGTGGTGTCTGGGTTATGAACCAGATAATCCAAACAAGCTGGCTTCCCAGAGATATACTAGGAAAAATAGTAATGGTTATTTAATGCTTAGTATATATCAGGTTCTTAATACAATTTATTGTACTATACATGGATGGTTCCCTCTAACCCTAACCACATCTCAATTAGGTGTGCTTTGTAGAGATGGAGAAATGAAGTCACAGAGAGGTGGGCAATTTGCCCAAGATTATACTGCTAGTAAGTGTAGGCCAATGTTCAAACCCAGGCAGCCTCAAGTCAGAGCCCGTGAGCAGAACCACTGTGCTATACTATAAAGAATCTGAGTCTTACAGGGTATTTTTCTAAACTTTGATTCCAGCTCTTCAAAAACCTTTATTAAATTAATCTAACATTAGTCTTAGCCTAGCCAGTAATAATTATGCATAAAAGTGATGTGTAATTTTGAGCAATATATAAAGATATACTCTTTTTTGTTTTCCTATATCCTATTTTAAAATTTTTCTTACTTATGACAAAATAATAAAAGCACTTACACATCATTCCCCAAATCTTTTGAAGTTTTTGAACTAGATTTCTGGATTTTCTTTTCTTTTCTTTTCTTTTTTTCCTTCCTTTCTTTTTTCTTTTTTGTTGTTGTAGATTTAATTCATTTGTTGTTGTTGTTGTTGTTAGTTGTTTCAGGAATTTATTTGTAATCACTTTTTGCTAATTTCAATAAAGGCCTTAGATCAACTGTCCTGACCTACAACCAGCACTTTGAATATTTCAGCTTTTAAGATCAGACAAATGAAAAAGGATAGAAAACTATGTCTCCTTATAGCTGTATTTTTTTTTCCATAAATAATGGGGCACATTGTCCTAAT